CCAAAACATATGATTTATTCAATCCATTTATTCAGTTAATTTCTGCATAATGAGTGCTTTAACATCTTAAACCTTAGGTAGACCACACTTACCTGCTAATACTTTTACTGAAGTTTACTTGGAATAGAGTATTGTTACATAATTGTATTGCTACTTTTAAAAAAGTAAAAGACCTGAATACTTCTTCCACCACTGCTTTTTTATTTTTGTTTTACATACAGCAGATGTGACGTGTGAAGGCTTTGGAATTGTTTATGGAGTTAAGGTTAAAAACAAAATAACAAGTAATGCAACTACTTACTTTTCCTATGAGTAATGTATTGAGTAATTGATTGATTTTTAACTAACTTTCCCAACACTGGTTGTTGAGCAACAGAGTAACAGCAATAGAAAAATCTCGTCACCACATTTTCGCCCTGCCTGCCAAGGATAGAAGGTGAAACTTTACATGGTTCAACACAACACAAACACACAAGATGGTGTCTACAGAGCATGAAACAGAGTGTCACGTCTCTCCACACACACTGAAACTGAGATTGAGATAAGGATGATCTTTTGAACTGTGTAAGAATCACAAATGCTGATATAACACCTGGCATCCGTTGATGCCCTGCAGGCAGCGCCCCACAGAAAGCACTGTCACACCTCAGCTGGAATGCAGGCTCTTCTACATAACATTAAAACAACTTCATACACCACTTAGATAGATGTCAACAGCAGCTTGGAATCATGCACTGCCAAGATTTTATCACAAATATTACAGTTAAAGCCTACTCAGGAGCAAGAAGTCCTTCTGGGTAATGTACATAACTCACCTTGGATTCCCATCAAGCAGAAAAGATCCGCTATAGGAAATCAGGGCTGACAGCTGACGCTTTTTTGTTTCTTTCAGAAAACCCGACCGGATGAGGAATGCGTAACGATGTTGCTTTGAAGAAGCTGAAGTCCCTGCTTCTCACAGAATCTGCCGTGTCCTTACTGAATAGATAAGTTGTCATCAGGAGGAAGAAGTCTACTTGGACTCATCAAACAGATCCTTTTCTATTTGACCTCTGCCAAATCACTTTAAAAAAGAACCTTTATGTTGGACCAGACTGCAGAGTGAAAGCTACAGTACAGAGCCAACGCCATGGCTTCATATGGAAGAAAAGTTGAGCAGGACAGCTCCTTTTGACCCCATTGAGCCGAAACCTGAACACCTTACAAACTTTCTCTCCAACTCCCAGACAGGCTTCATGGTGAATCGAGTACATGCAATTTCAAGCTGCAGATTGAATGAGGGCCAGATAATGCAGGTGTGAAAGGACACTGAATGGAATATGATTAAAAATGGGAAAATGTTTAATTTTCTCAATGAGCTTTAGAAAACCTTCACAGGCGGTAACTCAGTGGCTTTGAAGCGTCCAATCAGTGTTTGAATAGAGGAGCAAATTAAGCATTTTAATCGACTTTTGAGTGTACCATCAAATGAATTACATTGCTCGCCCTATTTTTTCAAATCAATGGGTACATAACCAAGATAAGACTTTTAATTTCTGATAAGCTGGACCTGGCAATCATTACATTGTCTGTCCTATAAGTATCTAAAATGGGCAAGGGAGGTCAGATATTCAATGGAATAAAATGAATGTAACGCTGTAATAAACTTGTATAATGAAACTTTTACCCAGGGAATGGTAAAGTTAATATAAGTTATTTTATCTTTATAATAATACAGACTTTTTAAAGTATAACTCAGGTAAGTAGAAGTGAACTCGTGAGTATGTAAAAAGGGATTTATTTTAAAGCCACTCACTTGTTGATTGAGAGAAACGAACACATGTAGGCATCCTTTAAGCCAAATCCTGTTGAACAGTTTCCTTCCACACCTCGTGTGTGTGGGTGGCAGATGGTAGCTCGCTGGTTGTCACAGCGATAGAAGATGGAAATACAGGCGACTGATTTCAAAGCAAGCAAACACCCCCTTTTGTGAAAGACACTGCCTACTATAGCAGCTGTAGAAGGAAGAGGAGACCTACCTATACATTCAGACAGGAGCTGATTTCTCTCATTACTTTCAATCAAAGCACAGGTTGCTCATGTCCTGATAATTCATATACATAATAATAACAACAGCAGTGGCATAAAAACTATGTTACTTCATGCTGCTTACTAATAGCATATTACTATGTATTCGCCTTTGTGATACTCCTACTAAATATTTCTGTCCTCAGGTCTCAGCCATATGAGCTGTATTTCTTTAGCCATCAACAGATCCAAAATGCTGGATTCATAATAAAGCTTCTCTTTTTCTTCCACTCAACAGTTTACCGGTATTGTTATGTGACATATGGGTTGTGATAATGTATTTATGCTCTTACAAGTTTGCATATCAGTTCTCATTGTTTTTGTAGTTTAACACTATTCAGCCATTAGAGGGATAGTGCACCCAAAAATGAAAATTCAGCCATCATCTACTCACCCATATGCTGATGGAGGCTCAGGTGAAGTTTTAGAGTCCTCACATCCCTTGTGGAGATCCAAGGGGAGAGTGGGTAGCAACAAAACTCCACCTAATGCAGGCTGGGTGCCCCAGATTAAAACGTCCAAAAAACACATAATTGAAACCACAAAATATCTCCATACTGCTCGTCCGTAGTGATCCAAGTGTCCTGAAGCTCCTACATAAAAAGTTGTTTGGAAAAACATTTGAACTCTGTTTTTAGCCTCATTGTAGCCTGCAGCTCTAACTGCCTCTCTGTACACTGCGCTCACGTGTGTGCTCAATCAGTGTCTAAAACCAGTTATCATAGTCCATTTTTAAATTTACTTTTAGGAGGGGACTTATGTAAAGTATACCTCAGTTACTCTGTTTTAGCACAAATTAGATAAGCCCAAACTACGGTTGCAGTAAGGCAAAAATGATTTCTGCCAAGTGTTTTGGAACACTTAAAATGATATGTGGCCAGAAAAACTCCAGATGAAGGTGTTTTTAGCTCAATGTTTTGTGGCCCAAAAATAATTTAATGCAGTATTCATTGTTATATTCACAACTACTGCATCAGCTCAGTAAATCCCATACACACCTGCATCTGATCAAAGGATTTTAAAATGTGCTCATATAGATAGTAATTAGGCAAATTGTAATTTTTTATTTGTATGTTTTAATTACCTCTCTCATAATGGTTATTAAATTATTTACTAATGCTTTATAGATCATTAAACAACTTTTTGGCTGCCAGATTGTGAAAACTCACTTTTACTGGTTCATAAAGGTTTGAACAATTATTTCAAGATATGAGCTGCAGCCTGTCATTAACTGCAGACTTGATGATTAAAGCCTTTATTAATTAACAATAAGATTTATAACTTTAGGGTTGGAAGCTTATCATGTGACAAACCCAAGACCATTATGATTACTAACATTTATAACAACATTATTACCAATTAGAAAGAACCAGGTCGTTGTTTTGCAGGTCACAAGTAAGTCTGCCCTCAAGTCCCAAGTTAAGATGGGCACATCCTCAGTCAAGTCCCAAGTCAAGGCGGGAAAGTCCACAGTAAAATCCCACGTTAAGACAGGCAAGTCTCAAGTCAAGTCCTAAGACGAGACAGGAAAGTCTTCAGTCATGTCCCAAGTCAAGACAGGCAAGTCCCAAGTCAAGCAAGGCAAGTCTTGAATCAGGTCTCAAGTCAATACAGCCAAGTCCCAAGTCAAGACCTTCGTCTTGAGTCAGGTCCCAAGTCAAGGCAGGCAAATCCTGAGACAAGTCCCAAATCAAGACAGGAAAGACAGGACTCAAGCAAGGCAAGTCCCGAATCAAGTCTCAAGTCACGACAGGCAAGTCCCAAGTCAAGTCTCAAGTCAAGACAAGCAAGTCCCAAGTCAAGACAGGAAAGTCCAGAGTCAAGTCCCTAGTGAAGCAAGTCAAATCCTGTGTCTAGTCCTAAGTTAAGACAGGCACACTGGGTCAAGTTCCAAGTTAAGACAGGCAAGTCTCAAGTCAAGTCAAGTCTCAAGTCAAGACAGGCAAGTCCTGACTCGAGTCCCAATTCCAGACTGAAAAGTCTCAAGTCAAGTCCCAAATCCTTAAATTTGAGTTTTGTGTCCTAAACAAGTCATAATGTATTCCCTACCAAATTTAATTCCATTTTAACATCAGAATAATAATATCTTGAATTTACAAAAATCCTGATTGCTTTTCAAACATTTTTGTTGTTGTTGTTGTTACAAACAAGTTTGTTAATAACGACTGAACTTAATCAGAAAAAAGTAGTGCTGATATTGCACTTTCATATAGCGCTATGAGCCAGCATCACAACAGAATAAAATGTGAATGACTGCATCCTGACTTCTTGTATAACTCATCACATAAATAAAAATAAATAAAAAATATCTTCAACTTTATCTTTCCAAATTGGCTCGCAAGGTATCAAGTATTTTCAAGTCAAAAGATTCCAAGTCATTGTGAAGTCACAGGTCGTTGGTATTTAAGTCTAGGTCGAGGTGCAAGGCCTTTTTGTGAAGTGGAGTCTGAAGTCATCAAACTTGTGACTGGAGTCTGACTCAGTCCAAGTCATATGACAAAAGTCCTCACCTCTGATAATTACAAAGCAATGGATTTTTATTAACAGCGTGGCAACCTGTCCTTCGCAGTGTTTTATAACCGATATATAAAACAAATGAATTATTAACCATTAATTAAGTTACACCTTATAAACCTGTAAAGGGCGCCTTATCACAAATTTTACCACTTTTTGCACATGTGTCACAATAAAGTCAAAGTTCTACCAATAAAGATTATTTAGTGTATAAAAAATAATGATAGTAATAAAACCTAAGTATATGGAAGAGCAGCGTCCATTCTTCCCCTCTCTTTCTTCTCTGACAGTAGACAGTGGTACGGTAGTAAATCACGTCTCCCCCCGGCCGGCCGGCTGATGGGCGGCTCGGCTCAGCGCTGCCCGCCCTGTGGGTGTGTTTAAGGCAAATGGGCCTCTGCATCCACCTGCTCGCGCCCTGCCTCCCTACAGTCAGGAGCGCCCAACTTTCCTCAGGAGCACACGCTGCGTGCCTGGACCTCTCTACACCACAGGGACTTTGTTTCCAACTGCTTTTTTCCCACGAGATGTCGATTGTGGTCTTGCGCCGACAGTATCTCCTCGCCTCGCGGTCTCGCACAAGATTGAACTAGAGAAACATTTCTTTCCCTTTATTAAAAAAAGAACTGTCATTTTCTTATTGTGCGCTGACAACTCCGGGGCCAATAACCACGCAGTGTGCACACAGGTACAGACTGCCCTCCTGAGCAGGGACCGTCCAGCAGCAGCAGCAGCAGCAGCAGCACGGGGATTTTCTATTGTTATTGATTTCAACTTGGAGACGAAAGTGACCGATCTGTTGGAATTGATTTGTTCAATGACTTGCAAGGTTGGATCTGAAGTTATATTCGGAGAACTGCAACAATAAGGTGAGCCTTTTCGTGCTGTTGCTTTTTGCTTATTATTTTCTATTTAACCTGCTTTACTATTGAGGGTAACAAATAAATTAAAAAGCTTACCTGTCCGCAGATGCGCGCTTTTTTATTTCTAAATGTGTTATTCGCTCCAATGACTGTTTTCTCCTATAAACATAAATAATCAGAAATAATGATTTAAAATCCCGATAGATCCCAACCTTAATTCTGACATGAATCATTATTACTATTTATTGAACTGCTCTTCAGTTTACCGTGCGCTCTAATACCACACCAGACTGTTTACAGTTCTGTCGTCCATGTGTAGCCAAGGCTGCCAGTCTGTTACACACAGATTTCAGTCTATATCATTCAGCAACACTGAACATTTTTTTGGCATACATTTTGTATTCTTCATTATTGAAGAAAATTGTGATGTTTTTTTCTTTTAAATAAAGTTTGATATTGTTTTTATTGCCACATTTTTAGCATCCATACTGTTTATTACTGTTTATTGTCCACTGAATACAGCAGCAGGATTCAGGAGGAGGGGTGTGTTGCCACTGACCTGACTTGTGGTTAATAGCTTTTGTCTTTTACTGTCTTTATAAGTTGTAATGGTTGCAGTACATTTGTCCAACATGTGGCAATTAATAGCTTGCAGACACAGTGAAAAGAGAATCAGTGCATGGGATATTTTCTGTAGGTCTGAAGCACTTTGGATGATTGATGGTTTTGAAATGATTATGTGTTTCCACAAACGGTCCATTTGTAAACGTATGTATTCATTTTACGACTCAAAATGACTGCAGGAGAGTAGATGTATTTATCTTTATGGTATATGAGTGGACTCTCAGTCTCCATAGTGTCATTTGTGAGCAGTGCCTTGTTTGATTTAAACTGCTTGTGTGAAGGACTTGGCCTGTGTCTCAGAATAAACAGCTGGATGGTTAACAAATTGTCAGTAAACAGCCGAGGTTTAAACAGCTGGGTTATACTCATAAATCCACTTTAGCCAACCGGTTTGAGGACTCTTTGGCTCTGCTCGCGTCTCCGAAGGTGTGTTTGATATGGAGCCCATTTCCAAATGTTCAGTTGGGGAAAAGCGCTTTGTGTCCAACCAGTGAGGTCAGGTTGCTGTTTTGGGAACAGAACGTGATGAAAAAAAGTTTCATCCAACCTCATGAAAAGGCAAGTGGCAACATGGTAGAGATGATTAAATGGACGAAGAGTGGATTTGATGGAGAATGGCCAAGGGCAAGAGGCAGCCTGTTCTACGAGTCTTTCTGGTGATTTGTGACAGATGTGTGGAACATTGTGGTTGCTCCCTGGTGTCTATCAGTCATTAACCGGAGACTTAATTGTAGATCACCACTGCATTGTTTGGAAGACTTGTTAAATTGTTGCAGTTAGTGTTTGAGACTGTCATCATTTGTAACCCCTTCAGCAAGCCTTTTAGCAGGAAGTTAAAGGAAAACTTAAGTATTTTTCAACCTGGAGCCTATTTTCTCACGTTTTTGTGTTTAATTTTTGAAATTGGTCCAGTATTGTGTGACCACTCCAGCCACAGCAGCTAAACAGGCTGCAATGTAATTCCTGCAGGCAATTGTGCACTGTCAATTTATGTCCATTAAAGAGCTTGTTTTTGCTACTGACAGGCTCAGCTTGTTTTAAGTGTCTGACAACATTATGGAAAGGATCCCTACCAGAGTTGCAGCAGTGTACCAGTTTTAAGGTGCTATGAAAATTGATGGTTATCATACAGTGTAAATTTGCTTATCTGTGGTACTGAAAAAAGTGCAACTGTATGGAAACTCACCTTTATTATAGTTATGTTAAGGAGGGAGACTGCTTACACTTGCTTCCATCAAAATAATTGTTTTGAAGTTTCAATTATAGTAATAAAATGTTTGTTCAATCAAACAAAAAACCTACTTTGATTGCTTTAGGGGTCATTGTAACTGATGATAATTATAATTCTGAAATACCGTTTACTGTGAAACTGCTATATTTTCTGATATGGTTATTGGACTGTAAAAATCTCATACTGTTGAAACTCTAATCCCTACAGAGAAATGAAATCTTTATCTTTTACTGATCTTGTCTGTTTTTTATTGTGACCAAGTTTTGATCTGTTGTGAGAGATAACTTTTTGCAGGAAAAACAATGCTGGAAATGTGAGTTTTATCAGAGGTGCTGTATTGAGGTTATGTGTCTGTAGTGCACATCAGAGGTCAGTCTCTACTGGTGGAACAGGTAGCTGCGTTGAAAAACATAGCGAGTGGTGGGGATAACAACACAGGACTGCAAACAGCAAGCCTGTAACATCAGAGAGAGGGTATGGGGAAAACAGCACATGTGTGAATCTACCTTGGTAATTTAAGGATTTATTTCAAACAAACCAGTGTTGGTGATTGTTTTAACAGTATACTACGTAACTAAATGACTAACGAGACTAACTAAGACGATATCGGTGAGTTTTATTTTGTTACTGTGGAGTTTCAATGAAGTGTGTTTAATGATGAGTTAACAGGGCAATTAAGCTAGTCTTGGTTCGAGAGAGAAACTTGGTTTCAGAATGTGTACAGTTGTATTTCTCTGTTTAATAAGAAAAATAGTTGGAGTAGGTTAGAACAACATCTTTCTTGACATTTTATGAGTTTATGTTGTTTATTCATTAGAATGAAAAGCTACAAAAGCTCGCGGAAGATAACAAACTCGTTGATTAAGGTGTAGGTGGTAAATAGCGCAAAATACCATCATATAGCGTATACCCGGGTGAAATTTCAGGAAGGTATGAAAAAATTGATACCGCCCAAGCTTAACAGAAAGTGTGTCTTACTCTTAAGTAACTAAAAAAAATTAATTGTCATGGCTGAATATTTAGGTGATTTTGACAATGTAGATCAGTCAGTGAGATTTCAGAATGACACTTCTCCTTAAGTAAGACTTGGTTACACACTTACAAACAGGCTGGAGTAGTGTTAGGTAAGGAAAAACATTTCATTTCTTTGCAAGGTTTTTTCTGACATATTTTCTTACAACAACCTGAGCCTGTCAGTGGCAAAAACAAGCATTATGTTGCAGCCTGTTCCGCCGTGGCTAGAATGGTCTCTCTCAGCACTGGACCAATTTCAAAAATTGTCTTGACACAAAGACATGGGAAAATAGGGTCCAGGTTCAAAATTCCCCTTTAAGTATTTTATTTTAGATTGCACCAATCACAACTTTGTTTTGCGTCTTTCTTCAGTAAGCGTGGGGACGTGGTATAACCTGGCATTAGGTGAAGCTGTAATTACAGAGCAGCGTGCACGTGTGGTGTCATGACGTAGGAATGTGTTTTGGGTGCGTGGAGAGGAGCAGAAGAAAAGCTTCTCTCACTAGAGTCAGCAGGATCTTTCCATCAGTTTGTCACACAGACACACACACTCTGAAAAACAAACATAATTCTTCCCAAATGGAAGTGTGTACACATCTCTAAAAGCTCTGGCTCCTCTCCATCAGGACTAATCAGTTCTGTGAAGCTCCCAGAGATCTGGTTGTAATCCCCACACCTCAGTGCTGCATCGCCAAAACTCGCAGGGATCATGGGGCCCTTGGGAGCAATTGACTTGACATGTCACATAAATTAATAAAGCAGACTTATTGTGGCAGACCTTCTTTTGCAGTGTAGAGTTGAGAAAGCATCTTCTCTTCTCACGTGTTTGTTTTTTGTCCCTGCAGAGATTTTTTTGGAAAACACTCTGTGTGTGCTGCAGGAGGTTGGTCCACCATGCAGCTGGACGGTCTGTGGACGGTCCACGCCCTCCTGGCACTGTCCGGCTTCGCTCTCGGGAACCTGGTGAGCAATGACCCAATGGCCGCACCCCGCGTCTTTATCTCCTTCAAAGGTAGGACCCTGAACTCATCCTCAACTCTTATTCCCACCTGCCTCTTAAATGCCCTGGTTTGCAACGACTCTTCTAATTCCATGTTGGTTTCTTTAAGTCTGTCCATGTGTTTGCTCATCGTATGACTGATGACTTGACAGTTGTGTAATCGGGGCGATTGTGGCTTTGATAAGTGCTGAGGGTTTTAGCAGAGGAAGAACTTACAGCATCACCAGACTCTCATGTTGCACCGCAGAGCACACCGCAAACAAATCATGCAGTTTGAATTTGCTGCCCCCTCCTCAGACCTCCAGGCGTTGTAATAACCACCAGATGCTTCCACCAGCTTGCTGTGTACAAACAATTAAAAATGCAAACAAAGGCTGAGCAGATGCACGTACTGAAGATATTGTGTTTGTACTCATTTTGAAACAATATACATGATTATTGTTTTAGATAATCAAACTCAGCGTCTTTATCTTCAATCATTTTTATTGTGGAATCCCTAAAGTGGAGGCACAAAGAGAGATGGGATAATAAGGAGCATGTAATAACTCTACGGCCATTATGTGATTATTCCCTGGTGAGGCAGACTTTAGGGGGGTGTGTTTGTGCGTTCCAGCGGCCGTACAGATTAGGTGAGATGGGGTTGCCAGGTTGTGAGGGGTGCAGAGTGAGAGAGAGGGTATTATCAAGAGCAAATTGCCAGGATCAGCCGAGCAGAGCGACGTCCCTGAGGCCTGTCCTGCCCGGAGATCAAGCCTTTGATTAGCATCCAGAAAGAAGCCGAGGGAGCGAGCAGCGCCCCTGTTTGCTTTGCTTTCCATTTCCCAGCGCTCCCCCTTGTACAAGTTGACTTAATTAAGTGGACTGGCACAGTTCATTGTCGAAGGCGTTTTTCCTGCTTTAATCAAGTAGGATTTACCACATCAGTGCACGCACATCCATAGCTCAGCAGTTTTTTTCATTTTCCAAATATCATTTAAGTCACTTCTTTGCACAAACGCTGTGTTGTCCTTCAGAGAGCTGTGTAAATTGTGTTTTGCTCTATAGGATTTTCTGTGAGCAGACTCGTCGGCTGCTTTTGTATAGATGCATCTTTGGATGGCTGAACTCACCAGAAAATATATCTGAAAGCAGCGGACTATTCTTTGGCTGACAAGCAAAGTGGAAAAAGCTCGGCTCTCCTGCTTACCTGCGTGTGTTTGCCTCTCCAGTCAATACGAATTTCACAGTCTACTGCTGCTGCCTCTCTCGGAGGAATGCACCCCCCACTCTATTCAATATTATGACTCTCTCTTCCTTAATTGCTTTTTGAGAGGCCCATGTAGTCCTTACCTTGGCAAGCTGGCTGCACTTCCCCTGATGCATCATGATGTGTTAAGTTTTTTGTCGAGCTGTTTGCCTCTGAGCAGCAACTTTAATGGAACGCAGCATGATGACAAGTGTGGACGATATGCAGGTTTTTTCTTAATGTGAGACTGAGGGAAAGAATGTGTTAATTATCAGTCCCCCTGTTTATAATTATTGATCATTATGGCAGCGTGCCACACTGTGAAGAAAAACTTAAATTGCACCCATAAAGCTGAGTGTTTCTCTCAGCTTGGAGCTAACCACATGTTTCAAACTGATTAACTCGGTAGCTAAGGAGCGAGGTTCAGAACCATAACCTCCGTCTGGGAGGCCCTAACTTCCCCATTAAAGCAGGTAGAGTAAATCATGGCACCTAATTGCTTTGCTGTGGCTTCATGTAGTGTGCACAGCTTTTATGACACGGAGAACACCCTCTGTGGTATTGAGTCTTAAAGTATTCTGAAGATATAAGGTGAAAAATGCATCTACTGATACACATTTCAATGAGATTGTTTGTAGAGTCTTTGAGGGATAAACCTTGGAAGCAGACTTTGTTCAGGCTTATCATGTTTTCTGTGCTGGTAATCTGAGTGAGCAAAAAGAATGAAGTCTGCGTCAGTTCAGACAGCAAATGAATGTAATCAATGTCAGATGAGAACTGAGTGTTGCGTGGAATGGGAAGAGGGAGCAAAGCAAATCCGCCGTACATAATCAGTTGAGATTTTAAGGTTAGCTGAGACAAGACTGCTGTCGCCAGAAACCCCCAAGAGACGAATCATGTCAAATGGTCGACCTAGAACTGCTGAGAATCTGCTAGTTGGAGTTAACGCCATTGATATATTGGAGGGTATAAGCAGGTATACCCACCTGTCAGCCAAAAGCCATTAGAATATATTAATATATTGTAGCATTTACCAGCTTCCTCCTAAATAACCTACTCATCTACCTTGAAGTACACTCACCTCATGAACCAGCACTACACCACTGGTTAACGCACATCCAAAGGGACTCCTGGCATGAAGTTTAAGAATACTTTGGGCTAGTTGTAAGGTGAGGGGTGATCTTAAGATGTTTGGATGTATAGTCCAGTGTTTGGGGACGCAGTCATAACTTTTTTCTTAAATGTACTTCATTTATGGCTGGAACTAAGGATGTTTTTTTTAAATAACTGGTTAGTTAGCTAGTCCAACAGCTCAAGGTGATATATTCAGACTGCATTTTTTCCTTTAACCATTAGGTCAAAATCTAAATATATTCAATTTACTGTAATGTATTACAAACAAAGCATAAAATTCTTGTTTGGCAAGTCTGCTTGAAAAATTACTAAGACAACTAATCCATTATCAAAAGACTTTTCTGACGCTGACTAAACGACGAATTGATTAATCGATTAGTCATTGTAGTAGCATTTTTTTTTGCCAACCGGCAACATTTAATATGAAAATGTGATTTTTTTTCGGGGAAATTAGCACAATCTGACATATATGAAATTTTACTCAGTTGTGAGAGTTCTCTGGAGGTGCTGAAATATGTGTGCTTTATTGTTCTTTGCGTGCAGGAGTGGAGTGGTAGTATAGTAAAGTAAAGCCATCCTGGATTTAATTCTGTTCAAAATTAGTGCCGCCAAATCAGCCCATGTTTTCAAGCTGTCCATCACTAAGGTGAAATACTGAATTAACATGTGAAAGGATTGAGTGAGCATCGCCTCTCCGTGACACTCCTAAGTCATGCAAGTGCCTTTGTAGTGTAAGTCCATTAAGAGGTTGACTGATTTATACGTGCAGTTTTTTATAGATTCTTGCTTTTGTATCACACTGTGAAGTACAGAAAAGACAGCAGTTTGTGAATGGACAGAGCTCTCCTGAGGGACGTTTTGCTATGCCATGTTTTGCAAAGAGTGTTACATTACTGCTGTTGGCCCACATTCCCCCAATGACATATTTGAGTTCATGCATTAAGAAGATCCCAATCTAAATCCATGCTTATGGCTGCGCTATTTCAGGCCTTATACCACACTTAACCTCTGCCTCTCTGGGCTGCCACAACTTCACTCACTCACAAAACATCATTTACTACAGTCCATAGAACTGGATCAGGGCGCTGTCCCTGCTTTATATGCAGTTGTTTACATGAAAGATGTAAGTGGCAACTAAAAGCCTTTAGTGACATTTTAGAGATCTCTAAACAAGGCTTTTTTTCAGTGTGCTTAGATAAACAGACAGCAGGTAAACATTGGTTCAGAATAAACAGAGACACAGGGTCAAGTATCCCTGCGATTGTAAGTTTTTCCTTTGAAAAGCCACGCAGACGTAATCTACAGCTGAGGGCGGAGCCATGTCTTGCAACACAAAGACCATGTGAGAATTAACATCTCTCACGTTTTCTCAGTTGGTGTTAATGAAATTTGAAACGGCTGCTTTGACAACTATAGCAATGGAATTATGGTCTGTCAGTACAAAGGACCTTTAATACCATAACATCATAAGGATTACAGCCCACACGCTCCCCCTCCTCCTCCAACTGAAGGCCAAATCAACACGGACAACACCAGAATGTGGGTCAACTTTGCCACAACCGCTGCCGGGCCAGGTGGCAGTAAAAGGAAGCAGCTCTGGCTCGTCATTATTCCAGATATTTCTCATCTGCACGCCCTCCTGTGAAGGGCTAACACCAGGCTCCTATTTTTACTCCTCAGCAGAGTCTTTAGACTATATCGGGTGCGAGTGTGTGTGAGTGCGTTTGTGTGGGTGGGTGGCAGCATAGAGGGTTAGAAACCTCCACTTAGGGTTAAATGCCAAGCATTCTGGTATGTGTCAGCCCTTGTTATGCAGGACCTATGACTTTTTGCCTTTTAGTGCCCAGGAATAACAACAGATGAGGATTAAATCTGAAAGTGTGAGCTAAAAAGCAGCTTAAGAGTATATCCATACAGTGAGGTAGTTGTTTTGATAAGTCAGCTGTTTGCTATCAGTTCATCTCTGGGCTTGCCCCATTACTGCTGCCCTGTCACTTCTACTAGTAAATGTTTAAACTGTTATTACTGCTGTTCACATACTTCATTCCAGTGGTCACTTTCTTCTCTGCGCTCCAGAGGTACACATTAGTGGTCAGAATTCTATGACCCTGTTATCAGTGCTGACCTGATTGGCTCTGACAGGATGCAGTTTTGAGTGTTTGCTCAATATTGAGTGTTTGAATGAAAACTACAATGTGGTGTCTTTGGCACATTTGCATCCAGGCCCCCTGTTTGCTAAAGTAAATGCAACGTGACTTGTATATTTGCTCAAGGTGATCGTCACTGATAGCTTCCTGTTTAGCCACCGTCCAATTTGCAGGATACCTCAAGCATGTTGGCAAGCCTTCACCCTAACTGTAATATTGCAGTATTGTTGAACCACATGCAGAAGCCACGAAACCACTGCCCCAGTAGTCTGGCACCGCTGCTGATGTTCGGCTGTGATCTCTAATTACTGTTTGCGAGGCCTGAGTCCATATATCCCCACGGCAGCGTAGTAATGACTGACAAAGCATTGAAAACCACTATTACTCTGGCCATGTCCCAGACCTCAGCTTCTCTCAGCAGCAGCTAAGCCAGGTTATATTTAGTGTAAAACTCTCTTCTCCCTCAGCAGGCACACAGCAGTCATTTGTAGCACCGTGGTTAACCA